TCTATATTTTAACAAGACCCCCAGGTGATTTGTCTGTGCATGAACAATTGAGCAACTTTTTCTCAGAAGATAAGAAGAGCCTCATCTCTGGAAATAAGCTTCCCACAGAATCAGGATCCCTCATCTAAGAAGAGCAGCATTCAATGTCTACATGGCACAGTTTCAAACTTTCTGGTCTTGGGATCTGTTTACACCCTTAAAAGTAATCAAAGACACCAAAGAGATTTTGCCTATGTGGCTTATAGCTACTGACATTTATGATTCTAGAAATTAAAACTGGGAAACATTTTGTCAGTCAATTTTAAAACAATAATAAATTTCCACATATTAACATAAGTAACGGTTGTGATGCAAAATAGCCATGTTCAAAAAAAATACTAGTGAGAAGAGTACCCTAGTTTTATGTATTTGCAAGAAAATTTAACCCTTTGCTTAATAGACAACAGATAGGTTCTCCTATATGCTTCTGTATCTACACATCAAGTAGCCCCTGGACTCTACTGGAGGCTCACAGAATAAGTGAAAAAATTACATTTTAGCATTATTATGAAAAGAGTTTTGACCACATAGACCACTGGACCACTCTTGAGAACCACTGGTCTACCATATCCCTAGAGATCTCCTCTCTCATAAACCCTTTACTTGTTGATGCTAAGGAAACATCACCATGCCCCAAATAATGCCAATTGCAATGATTTGTCACAATTGCAAAGAAAATTCTTAACTAAATCTTTTGAGACAAAGAATGGTTTCTTAATGATGTGAGTTCTTTGGATGTAAAGATTCCACATCCTCCCTTCGAAGACCAGCTGAGAGATCCTCACGACTGTGTGTTATTTTAGCCAAGCCAGGTCAGCTCCGTTAACCCCAACGGAGACAGCAGTGGCTGCACGAACTAATTTACATAGGTACACTGAAAATGAAGACAAGCTATGCATATTAAAAAAATACTCTGTCAATTATCAATACTTACCAAATGTAAGATGTTATTATATATTTTCTACCATATCTCTTGCTACACAGTCAGCATTTGAAATGTGACTTTTTGATTCAATTTTCCCACTTATGAAAAACCATACCCAACTAGTACCTTCTCTGTTTCACTCTCCTGCCTCCAGGTTCTATCTCCAGGTTTCCTTGGCTACAATTTTGTCTCTTTTTCCTGTACTCCAAGAACCTTATTTCTCTAGCAGCCCAGGGAAAACTGGCCCTTGCTCCTGAAGCAAACTTTAAGACAGAAATCACAGATCTAAAAGGGATCTTAATATCATCTAGGCCAGCAGTTCTCAATCTTTCATGTACATTAGAATCACCATTGCTTGGAGAATTAAAGGGTTAAAGACTTAATGTCAAACTTCATCCTGGGCTAGATAAATCCAACTCTCCAATGTAAACCAGGATTTGGAATATTTTTTTTTTGCAGTCCACCAGGAGTTTCTAATGTGTAGCCAGAGATTAGAAACTCTGATCGAGTCCAATTATTCACTTTATAGATTGAGGGAGGATTTAAAGATTTATAGGTGGGGGGGGCAGTCAGGAGGTGAGGAACCTTATCTAGAATCACCAGGATAGAACCAAGATTTGAACACCACCTTCTAGCCAGACAGTATAACCAACAGGCCTCCATTATTTCTCTTAATTCAGAGTTCTCAAAATACAAACAAAATGGAATTTTGTCTCCTTCCTTTGAATGAAATTTTATTAAGGTATGTTTTATATACAACAAAATATATGCACTTGTTTAAAAATTAAAGTTAGACAAACTCATTTTACTACTTCCCCAGTCTTCAAGTAGGACATTTCCATCACCCCAGCAAGTTTCCCCCTGCCTCTTTCCCTCTATCCCAGGCCCCAGGTGACAATTACTCTGATTTCTGTTACTGTAAATGGAATCATATAGTATGCATTCTTTCATGTCTGCATTCTTTCACTCAGCATAATTTTTTAAAGATTCAACTATGTGGTGCAGCCATTATAGAAAACAATATGGAGGTTCCTTAAAAAACTAAAAATGAAACTACCATATGATCCAGCAATTCCAATCCTGGGTATATCTAGAAAAAACAAAAACATTAAATCTAAAAGATACATGTACCTCAATGCTCATAGCCCCAATATTTACAATAGCCAAAAGAGAGAAACAACCCAAGTGCCCATCAACAGACAACTGGATTCATGTGTGAGAGACTCACACACACACACACACAATGGAATATTAGTCATTAAACAAATGAAACACTGCCATTTTCTGCAATGTGGATGGACCTAGAGAACATTATTCTGAGTGAAATAAATCAGAGAAAGACAAATATATGAAACCTAAAAAAAAAATACAAATGAATGTGTATAGGAAACAGACTCACAGACATAGAAAAGAAACTTGAGGTTATCAAAAATTGAAAAGGAAGAGGGAAGGAACAAGTTAGGGGTAGGGAATTAACAGATACAAACCACTGTATATAAAATAGATAAGCAACAAGGATTTACTATAAGCACAGGAAATTATACTCATAATTATAGTTATTATTTTTTAATAACCTATGATGGAATATAATCTGCAAAATTACTGAATGACTGTCTTGTACACCTGAAATTAATACAATATTGTAAATAAAGTCACTTCAATTTAAAAAAAGATTCAACTGTGTTGTACCAGCAGTGTTTTACTTTACTGATAAGTAATAAACCATTGTGGGGATATTCTAGTCTATCCAGCAGGTAGTTCCCTGTTTGGGGGCTATTAAAAACAAAGCTGCTATAAACATCCATGTCCAAGTCTTTGGGAGGGCATACATTTTTATTTCTCTTGAGCAAATATACAGAAATGGGAACTCTAGGCCCAGCATGGTCTGCGGGGCAGGGCATAGAGAGGAAGGAGTTCCAGCCCTGCAATCAACCAGAGCTGGTTCTGCGTACAGGTGGGGCTGGTTACTGACATGGAGATTTAAATCCCAACTTCATAGGCACGTCAAAGAGACTGGAGAGCATGTATGTAGAGTGGCTGGTCAACAGTAATAAACGATAGTCGAAATAACTAGTTGCCGAACTGGGTTGAACTGCAGCAAGATCCCTGAATTTCCCAGTGAGGGAATTTTCCCCTGCTGCACACTGTTCACCCAACCCTCATCCAGACCAAGGCTCCCTCAACCCCCACCCAACCCCAACACACTCTCTCCTGTCTTTGAAGTTGAGGCCATAAAATGTGAACTACCTTCTGAAATAATTGATTTAGAAGTGTTTCTTGGCTTGTTTGTTTTAGTCATGTTTAGTTCTCTTTGACCAAAAAAAAAAACCAAAAACCTTCCAGGTAAGGGAACTCTCAGTACATGAATTCAGGTAAGGAGAAATGGCTGCCTTTTAGGCAATATTAGGCTGAGCCATGACCGCAGCTGGCGGCCAAACCTCCTGGGACCCGGAAGCGAAACCGAAGCCACTTTTGAAGGATGTAGGCTCATTTGCATTTGCACCCTCTCTGCCATCTAGTGCTTTCCTCCATGCCTGGTTTTCTACCCGTGCAGCCCCTTCACTTGACTCCGTTAAGTGCTCAAATGTCTCCTTTTTCTAGGTTTCCCACCCCTTTCCCACTCCTCATTCCTGCCTCCTAGCACTCTTCCCACTCACAGGACAGAGGAGCGAAACAAGGGGCCAAGGGCCAGCACGCTCTCTTAAACACACACATACACACGCGCACATCCACATCACCCTTGTCCACGTTCAACCGTGTAAACCAACTCAATTCACCAAATAAATCGTGAAGGAAGCTACCACAGAGTAAGAGGCTTTTCTCTGGCAAAATGTCTCCTCACTCACGGCGGGTGGAGGGGTGGGAAACAACTCTGCCACCAGTGAGCTGACAAGCCCCCGGTGTCATCAGCCCTCCTCCCTGAGACAGTGCTGCTCACAGTCATACGTCCCCTCTCCCATCAGGCCTTCTCCCTGCCCTGCCCTCCAGGCCTTTCCCTTCATCCAGAGCCTTCCTAGAGCAACTCAGCTAAACCCTAGGCCAGCAGACAGTGCTTCTGCCTCAGCCAATTTGAATGCGGGCTACCTGCAAGATTTTGAGACACTCTCAGCTGCTGCATTAAAACTGCATGAGCGTCTTCCTCAGGAGGCCTAATAATAGCATGTTTCATCTTTGAGCCACTTTATAAACATTAACTGATTAAGCCACCCTTCTCTCCTTCTAAACTCTGGGCTTCTGCATAGTGGACTACATCCTCCACCTCCCTCAAATTACTGCAGGAGGAAAAAAGCTGGGACCTGAAGGATCTTTTCCAGATATCTTACGCCAAGACAACATTAATGCCAAAGGCCTTCCAATAACAGCCTACATTTGGGTAATGGCCTGGAAGGGTAAGGAATAGAAATCCACAATTATTTAAAAGAGACTGAATTAAGATTCTCATCTCCCAAAGCCAGGTCAGCAGAGAGAACTAGCCTTCATGGTCTAGAGCAGAGTCATTGAACTATAGCCCATGACACCAAATCCAGACTGCCACCTGCTTTTATGAATAAAGTTTTACTGGAACACAGTCGTGCTCATTCATTTCCATGTTATTTATGGCTACTTTGACATTACAATAACAACTGAGTAGTTGCGACAGTGACCAAAAAACCCACAAGGTCAAAAAAAATATTTACCACCTATAGAAAAAGTTTGTTGACCCCTGGTCTAGGGAATTTAAAGTTTGTTCTCATCCTGTATATTCTCTAAACGTCTTTAAGCCAATCTCTTTTCCTCCCTAGGCCTCAGCTGCAACATCTGTGGACTGAATATCCTCTAAACTGAGCCGTTGCCTTGGGCTGATTCCTCTCATTGTTCTGTTAAGGGTCAGCATCCAGCATGCTAGCTTTGTCTCCTTATTACAGCTGACTTCTTTGCAAGCAGAAACAGTTTTGTGTGTCTCATGATCACTGTAGCCACAAGGCTCTATGTTGAGCCCTAAATCCATTTGTGAAGTGTAACAAAACTGAGTGGAATTATATTTCTTTCTTTGCAGAGAGATCTCGCAGAACGATGTCTTGGAAGTGATAGAGGCGAATGTCTTCTCCAACCTGCCTAAGCTACATGAGATGTAAGGAAGAATCTATGGGGTTCGCTCATGGCTGTTCTTGGCGACAGCCTTAAGTTCATTGATATTTCTGGGAGGCCCTGGCTCTGTCCTGTTCTCAGGCCCCTAGAATTTCATTGTAAGGTGTCAAAGTCAGCCCAAAAGGTACTGTCACTGTCTCTGCCTGGTGATCCAGGCACCAGCCCAGAGCCTGGTCTTATCCAGCTCCTTCCCTCCTAGAGTCGTTTTCAGCATAGCAGACCCCAGAACCTTACTCTGTGACTGCAAGGACCTCCCCTTCATCCTCTCACTCAAAGTTACTCCATAGCCAAGGCCCAAAATAAATCCCACATGATGCTGCTGAGGAAGGGCAGTCTTAGCTTGGATACTTCTGTCACATCACATACTCACCTTGAAACCTTGGCCAAGTTACAAAATCATTCTAAGACTTAGTTTTCTTATATGTAAAATGGGGACAATATAACTGAAGGCCTCATAGGACCACTGTGATGAATAAGTGAGATGATACACATTAATCAGACCTAACACATCAACTGGCATAGAGTCAGTTATCATAATGATCCTTGGTTCCTTTATAACTCCAACCAAGGTTACTCTCTCTTGTTGACATTCTAGTTTTACATACAGGTCAATCAACACTCACACAGATCCACCTCTGTTTCATATGGGTCTATAGTTTCCAGAGATTAATTCACAGAACCACAGAATATCAAAGCCAGAAGAGACTTTGGAGACTGGTCCAAAATTTTCCAAAGTACATTCTGTGTATCATTAAACACTCAGAAAATTATTAAGTGTTTCAAAAAAGGAAAAAGATTTTATGGTCAAATAAGATTAAGAAATACTGGGCAAATAAAGTTAGACAGATTCACTTATTATAGGAAAACTCAGAGCCTGTAACATGTGAATATACACTTGGAATCTCCAAGAAAGACATTGTATTAACAGTTTCTCAACTGATGTCACTGGAAAGGTTTCTCTGTGAAGCATTTATTAATATCTCACAAAATTCTCACGGAACACAGTTAGGAAAGCCAATGAACCACTTTCCTAATTTTACAGATGAGGAATGAAAGACAGAGAGAAGTTGTGAGGCTTGTCTAGTTACCCAGCCAAATCCACAGCAGGATGAGGACTTGAACATAAATCTCCTGACTCTTTTGCATCTTTTAAAAAGTTTTTAGCATTTGCCAAGCATATATCCGTACACACGTACATGCATAATTCATATATGCATATATACATATATATGAGTTTGTTCAGGAATTAGAGCCCGTCCATTTCAGCAGACTGCCCTCTCCCTCTCCTGCACTCTGCCTCTCACTCTCATTCTTCCTCGTTGTCATTAAGCTTCTGCAGTTGATGCCTTCCCTCCCTCTCCCCATAGCGCTCCTGCTCCTTCCTTCCTTCTCTCTCCGCGTGGCCTCTCCTTACCGTAGTTAGGAAAAGAGATCTGCCCAGGGTCTCAAAACCCACTGGGGATATAGCAGAGAAATGAATCAAAGGGCACCCAGCCCTCTGGGCAAGGTCAAGCAGGCCTCCCTCTAATGTGATGGGCAGTGGAGTTAATGGGATGGCACTTTCATCTCTTCCCTGCATGGAGAGGTGCTCACCCCCATGTAGCACTGCCTGAACTTAAAATGATTAATTACCTGGTACTTGGATCTGGGTAGCTACAGGTTACTGCAACATTAAAGCTAATGAAACAGGGAGGAAGTAATTAACACACAGCATCTCTGCAAATATACATTGATCCAGCAAGATGAGGAAAGGGCAGCCTCTCTCTGCCGGAATCCAAATGTGAACATGCCCACCTCCAGACTATTGATCAGGACACAGCACAGGTCAACACAGGGCAAAAGCCATCACTTCCCATGAGCTGAGAGAGAGCAGCCTCAGTCTGCAGCATGAGCGGAATCACTGGCACATCCCCAGCTACCGTCCACTGGGATGGCACAGTTAAAACAAAGACATCCGCTGTCTTCCCCTAATCTTTGTTTTCCTTTGCCCCTCCCCGTTCCCTCCTTTTCTCCAATCTCCTCTGGCTCTTTAGCCTTTTTCCTTCCCTCCCATCTTTTTACCCTCTTTTGTTGTTTTTCATTCCGTTCCCTCATCTCCCAATCAGACAAATCAGACCCGTGTGAGTCTCATCCCTACCCTCTTAGCCTCCTCAGACCCTGGGAGACCCTTAGTGGTGAAAGACTCAGCTGTGCTCAGGGTGAAAATGACTCACCCAGCCAGTGCTTTGTCTGCCTCTGATGGACAGGTTCCAGGAGGATTTCTTGATGAGAGTTAAACGGGACAGGGTTAATATTTCATTTGCACAGTTTAGTACAGTAAGAGACACTATATGCATGCTCAATTTTTGTTGAACAATGGATAGATGGATGGATGAATGGATGGATGGATAGATGATTTACTGACATACTCTTTGCAAAATGTGAAAAATACCACAGTATTCCTTATTGTTGAGGTCACCACGTGCATGTTCTTTCCTCTTTTACAGTAGAATTGAAAAGGCCAACAACCTGCTATACATCGACCCTGATGCCTTCCAGAACCTTCCCAACCTCCGATATCTGTAAGAACTCCTGTATTCTGGTACCCTCTTTATGATTAAATTGTGCATTCCTATTTTGGCAAAATATCCACTTACTACTCTGGGGAGCAATAGCTTTTTACCAAAGATGTGGGACGGAAGTGGGAAGACACTTGCTAGCAGACTTTAATTCAGTTTAATGAGTGAATTCCACTAACATAATTGCATTTTGTTTTCATTTGCAAAAACAGACATCATAAAGAATACCATTTGCACTAATGGGATTGTCACACAGACCTTTTGCAGAACTCGGTCATAATTTAGTGTTAATGAGATACAGCCAAAATTTCTGCTAGCAATTAGCTTGTGACCTTGAACTCATAGATACTGTCTATCTTGTTCTACATACATGTATCTTTTTTTTTTGATAGATCACAGCATTTTATATTAAAAGTCTTGGTTAATAATAGACACAGTATTTTATAAGCAGAGAGATTCCTGGTGTGGGTGCTCCATCCCTTGGGCCTCCCCCCAACAGCAAAAGCACTGCTCCTTCCATTCAGATGGCTTTCAAATTAGCTGAGGACTTCCTTAGACCCTGAGTGCTACAATGGGGCCCCAGAAAATAACAGATAAGAATTTGACCTATGGAGTCAAAACCTCTGGACCTACGTATTAGCTGCTGATCACAGGCAAGAAAGTTTTTTCCTCATCAAGAGAATAGGAATAGAGAATAGGAATAATAATAATGGCGAATATGTATCTGTTATCTATTAACATAATAATAACACATACCCTCCCCAAAAAAGACAGTTTTAAACCAACAACAACTTACCATTTCTCACCTGTCTGTGAGCTGATCAGCAGAATGGTTCTGTCGAGCTGGACTCTATGTGCCTGACCTCAGCTAAGCTCACTCATGCATCAGCGATTAGTTGGCAGCTTAAGCGGGTACTGGCTGCTCTTGATGGTCTGGGTTGGGATGACAGCTTTCCTCCCAGCCGACTAACACAAGCTTGTTCTCCTAGCGGTCCTGGGATTCCAAGAGAGAGGATAAGCTTGCAAACCTTTTGAGACCGAAACCCTGAACTAACACACCATTTCTTCAATTGTATTTTATTAGCCAAAGCAATTCATGGGGCCAGCCTAGATTCAAGAAGTGGAGAAACAGACTCCACTACTTGATGGGGAAAGCTGTAAAGTCACAAGACAAGGTGTACAGATATCAGAAAGGATAGAGAATTGAGGTCATCTTTGCAACCTATTTAAAACTTGTAAAAGGTTTTGCATGGTGCCTGTGATACAGTAAATGCTCAATAAACATTAGCTACTAGTGATACTACGACTGTCTCTGAAGTTTGAGCTATGAGAGCTGTAGTTAGGTACAATAAGGAACACTGTGGCTTGGCTTTCTGAATGGAGACTGACTGAGGGAATAAAAGATTTAAAAGAAGAAGAATCCATATGACCTGGAACTTTTGCTTTCTGATAGGAGCCTCAGAAAGGATCTGAGAAAAAAGGTCTTCCACTCCTGAGTTAATGTCAGAGGCAAGACCCTTCACGGGCATGCAGCCCGTGCAGCCTCACAGGGCTCCATGCTCAAAAGGGCCCCACACTCAGAGAGCCTCACACTATGTTCAACACTCTGCTTTCGCCACCTTGAAATGCTTAAACATTTTTGAACAAAGGATCCTATGGTTTCATTTCGCACTGCACCCCATAAATTATATAGCCAGTCATGCTCAGAGATCAGGGTTATGATCAACTTAGGAGTCTTGGCTCCCAAATGGACTTTGCTGTGCCCTCTGCAGAAGATAGCCTGGGTTAGGCACATTAACAGTGAAGGAAATAGGAGGCAACAGAAAAGGCATGGGTCTTAGAATTAAAAAATCTAGGACCTCATCCCAACTCCACCACTCCACTTTACCCTTGGGCCTATCACTGGACTTCTGAGATGCACATAGCTTCTAAGACCCTCAAGGGAGATTTATATATGAAAATACATTATAAACTACAAATGGGTCAAAAACATTAATAAATGTACTAAGTATTTGTAGGATGATTATTTCTGGACAACCAATCAAAGTTTACCAGTCCACCCTCAGAAAAAGTCCAGTCAGGGTTGAACAGAGAATTATGGTGGCCAGTAAAACCTTCAGCTTCTATCCAGAGTGTGTGGCATGAATTAAAACAAAAAAAGAAAAGAAAAAAAGGATATGCCTTTACATTTAATGGAGCAGTAGAGGAAAGAAAAAGAAAAAAAACTATATATGATGTCAGAGGGACTGGATTCCAGATGGGATGATGTTATTTATTAGCTCAATTTATTAGCTCATCATCTTCTTTAAGCCTCAGTTTCCTTATCTGTAAACTGAGTCATTATAGAAAGCAAATAAGATTTTACCTGTAAAAAAATTTTACAAATTGTTTTCAGCATACAAAGAACTATATAAATGAATATGAAATTATTCGTGCCTGTTACCCAGTTGGTTTCCTTCAGTCCTCCTTTCCTTCTTTCCCTCCCGATTGCCACCCCTCTCTTCCCTCCTCCTCTTTCCTTCCTCTTAGAAAAAGTTTGAGTGGAACTGGGGTGAAAGGAGCACAAAGCCTTTGATAATAGAACAGCACCATTTTAAGATTTGCAAAGGGACACCCCATTCACAAACAATCACATGTGGCTCATGAAAAGCACTCCTGCAAAGGAGAGATCCAAGAAGAAAGCGACCCCCCTCACATACACACCCCAGAGCCCATGATAATAATAACACATCCAAGAATGGTGGACAGGGAGCAGGTGATGGGGAATCACTGCAAAGTTTGAAATCAAGAGATCCAAAGTTTGACCCTAATAGCCCCTCATCTTAAGGCCAGCACCATTCATTCTTATTAATAAGGACCCTCAGGCCTCCCTCTGGGGGTGAGGGCTGGAGAGGAACTTGGGAGGATGTGGGCGTGGAAGGCACAGCCCTAGATTGGAGGGAGAGGGAACTCTGACAGAACAGATGGGACAAAACTCTGACTTCGACTCTGGAAGAGGCTGAAATCTGTGTCATCTGTCATCAACTCCAGCTTCCCCTTTGTGTCCTTTTCTCACTTTGAGGTGTTGAGTAATCTCCAGTCCCACATGGCTCCCCGGTCAAGTCCAGACAAAGCTGAAAGTGACTAATTCTAGCTACTTTCTTTCCTAAGAGGAGGTTATCATTCTCAGAGCATTTGAAACATACTTTCTAACTGGTGAAAGAAAAGAACATATAAGCAGTTAGAGGAATTGTGTCACTGTCAAATGATCTTCCTTGATGGCTCTGGGGAAAAAAATACTTACCGTAATTCTACAGTGTATAGAATCCTTTCACATCCTCCGCCATGCTGATCCCCATCAGGAAGTTGAGACAAAGAGTTGTCCATCTTAAACCTTTTGACCTGTTGCCCAGGGTGGACCTCTCCCAGCTGCACACCCATGGATGTGGCACATGGTGACCCTGGGATCTGAAGCAACTCTGCACTCCAAAAACACTACCAGTGAGACATCCATTCAGGGCTCCCAGACTATGGTCCTTTGAAATATTTTCCAAACTGTTAAGAGGGATCACCTAAATTCAGAGTTGGTCCTCTATTCTAAAAGATTATATCATGGAAACAAAGCCCAATCAAGTTTCCTTCTTCTTCCACACTTATTTGTGTCTGAGCAGCAGTCATAAACAGCTTCGAGATCCAGCAGCCAGGTGGAGGTGGATGGGAACGATTTCAGATATTCCAGGATGATGAACTACTTGCTTCAAGGCAAAGAAGACACACAAAATGGATGGAGAAATTTGGAAGGGACCAGCAGGACTGAGTAGTTGTTTATTTCCTTAAGCCAAGATAAATGTTTATCATCAGCGCCAGCAAAGTAGGAAATTACCAACGGTAGGGGTGAGCTGCCATTTGACTTGAGAACCCTCATTCCTGCATGCACACACACTTAGAGATATTGTTCTGCAATTCACAGCATTGATTCCATTTCATGCTGATCACTGACGGCACAGAATTCAAGACAACTAGAAATCAGCGTTCTTCATCACCCCTTTATACTGCACTGAGGAACCTGAAATGGTTAGGAAAAAAAATCCTCATGAATAAAGAAATGTACTTTGACTAGAAGACTGTACATCAAAGGATTCATCTGGGTGGACTTTTTTTTTTTTAAGTCAGTATTGTATTTGCAGGCAATATTTCTTTCTTTACCACTCTGCCTACTTGGAGCTGACCTGTTATGTATGAAAGATTATCTATTGATCTGTAAATCAGGTTTACACAATATTCTCTTGCCTTTGCATCCTGTCAGCATAATTCTCAGGCAGCTGGATGCTGCCCTTTGCTACTCAATAAACCATAATTTCATCTTCGCAAACCCTTCACACAGCTGGGCAGGCCCCCACCCCCAACTGACAACCATCTTCCACTCACATGTGGGCCTGTTCTAGCTTCTTAGGATGCTGTTAATGGTAGCTGCATCATCTGCTTTCTCCAGCCAGTGACAATTCTGGGGGCGTCTTCACTGGGACTCACCTCTACAATTCCGGCTATTTCTTCCCCGCTCCTCCCTCCAAATTCCTCTCCCTCTTTTCTGCATTCTTCTCTTTCACTTGGGTTAATAGGAGTGATGAAACTAGCTTCTCTGATTGTAAAAGCTAAACCATATTGGACATTGCAGGGCCAAAGGGACAGAGGGCAGGGATTCAAAAAGCAGCACAGAGACTCCAGGGCCACCTACTTGGACTTGGCTCCTGCCCTTGTGTGACCTTGGGTAACTGGCTTAACTTTCTGTTTTCTTTTCTGTAAACTAAGGATAACAGTGCCTGTATCCTTGCATTGTATGAAATGCAATACTAAGAATAATGACTGACATTCAGAAAGTTCTCAATAAATGTTAGCAATTCTTATTAAATCCTGACCCTGTCATTTACCAGCTAAGAGAGCCTGTGGAAGGGACTTCGTTTCTTTGTACCTTGGTTCTCTCCAAAGCAGACTCCTGACATACCCAGAAAGGTCCCTCCAAACAA